CTATCTACAAATTAGGAAAAACTCTTACTAAGTGGGTAGTGAAGCCCTGGAACTGGATACCCAGAGGTGTGGAGTCTCTATTTTTGGAGGTTTTTAAGGCCTTGCTTTACAAAGCCTTGGCTGAGATGATGCAGGAGGTTGGACTAGATGTGACCTGCTGAGGTCCCTTCACACCCCCTTTTTTATGATTCTAAGTAAAAAAATCTAGGTGCCTGATAAAAGAATCTAAAAGTCCTATGAATGGCTAAAGATAAAAAGGACATTTTTAAATCAACTTGAGGCAATTCTTACACTGAGTGAGGCCAGGGTCCATATGTAGATACAGCTGGCAGAGTCAGGGACAGCTATATACAAATACCAAAATAGCTGAGATGTTTCCTTGTTGTAGATGCAATAGAGCAGGGGATGGATCTAACCCAGGGAAGGTAGTGAATGGAACAGAAATCTCAGCTGCTGTAACCAGAGGACGTCTAGACGCACTCTCTGGTCCTCACCAGGCCCACATAACTCTCAGCTAGCACTTCACACCTCAGCACCTTGGAAGAACGAGCTCAGGAGCAGTCGGCACCACTACTGGAAACCAAGTTTGGAAACCTGGGGAAATCCTAGCTGAACTGGGACAGACGTGGAGTCCAGTACTCAGGAGGGGGAACTGGGTGAGCTGGGGAACTACAGAGTGCCAGCCTGGCTCATCCTGGAAAAAAATTCAGCAGTTAATTCAGTGGAAGCAACCAGCTCGATTCCTGGAGGCCTGGCCCAGCTGGCTGACCTGAGATCCACACCAAACTGTCCAACTACCTGCAAGCTCTGCTGCTCCACCGCATTTCCATAGCTCCTTCCATTGGATCAGCCAGTCAGAGCCCCAACCTCAGTGTCAATGCTGTTAGCATAGGAAATCTGTTCACGAGTTGTAGTCTATTACCAGTGCAGATGTGAAGTGCAGATTAATGCTCTGTTGGTGAGCTGTCTCCTGCACCATAGACACGATTGCTGAGGGATGATCCAGAGGTGGGAAAAGCAGAAGGACAAGAAGCTGCTACTCTTGCTGTTCCCTTGCATACCAGACCCCAGAGCTGCAGCTGGCTGGGCCTGGCGTTACCATGCCAGCAGCCAGGACTGGACTGGGATTCATTTAGCAAAAACTGGAGGTGGACTGACAGAGGTCTCCACACTCCTAAGTCCTCCCCAGTGACCTGCCACAAGCTCCTACTCATCAGGCAGCACGAATCAACACCTAGGCAGCACGACCTCGTGGAAGGCAGGTCTCCTCAAACCTGGGTGCATCTGCATGAGACATTTGCTTCACAGTAAAATGTCACCATCTACAAGTACAACCCCATTAGGTCACAGTAGACTAATAAAGGCCACCATGGGGTAGTCTGGCTAAACAGAAGTACTACCCTGCAGTGGCATTGCTTGGTGCACCACAGCACATGTGTAGACGGTGGCAGGGCTGGCTGGGGCATGTGGGTGCTTCACTGCAGGGCTAGCTGGCAGGCAGCCCCCACGCTGAAGCACCCTCGTGCCCCAGCCAGCCCCTGCGCAGCACATACAGCCCGGTTGGAGCAGCCCTGGGCTGGCAGGGTGACCCAGTGAGCCCTCTGCCAGTCAACAGTGCTCCGCCTGGACTCCATGTGCTGCACAGGAATAAACTCTGGAGCAACATGCGCCAGAGATTTTTGCTCCCAGTTGCACATTAATAAGGTGTGCCCAGGAACAAAAAACTCTGGAGCTTATTCATGCACATTAATTGCGTGAGTAGATGCAGTTGCTGTGCCTTTTTGACAAGATCAGAGGTCTGGCTGATCAAGGCATCTGCATGAAACGAGACTTTTGGCCCCCTCCAGAGGCCTCTCACTTAGCAGCTCAGGACACCTTGAACAAGGGGGATGGCAGGAACTCAGGGATGAAACGCGGGCTCAGCAGGATCCCAAGCTGCAGCTGTGAAGGGGACACAACAGCCAGCAGGGCCCTGCATTTGGTTCTTTGCTCAGCAACACTCAGTGTTCTCATTCACAGCCTGGATGATGGCACAGAGCAAAATCTCTGCTGAAAAGGGTTGTGGAGGACACATACTTTGGCACAGCAGTAAATGTGGAGGACGGCTTATTGCTAGAGGGACTGGAATGGTCTGATTCATCAGCAGTCCAACAAAACACAGCTCAATACAGCCAAATGCAAAGCAAAGCACCTGGAAACAAAGAACCCAGCTGCACTGAGAGGGGGCAGGTGGCAGTGGGAAGCAGCAGCTGAGGGAGGACTTCAGGGCCCCCACAGTTCACAGCCTCTGGTGAGCACTCAGGGCAGCGCCGTGGCCAGACAAGTCTGGAGCTGGGAGCTGAAGGTGGACAACAGATGTAGTTTCCTAGCAGCAAAGGTGACTAAACATCAGAACTGCCAAACAACCTCCACCTGCCATGCCTGGAGCTGGTCCTCACCTGCCCCTTCCCAGGCAGCTCACAGGGGAGCACGCCCCATCCTGCTGGGAGCAGCTCTGGTCTTCCTGAAGCATCCAGGGGCTGCACCTGCATCCAGACCTGAACGAGAGTGTCCAAAGCATGCCACATGAACTACGCCTAATCCCTGTGCCCTGCCCTAGACACGGTGCTGCTCCAAGTCTCTTCTGTGTGGGCAGACACCCTGGCCAGTGCCAACACAGACAGTCCCTGGCGAGGCTCCGCTCCAGCCCTAGGCCAGCTCCGTCCCTTCCTCCTTGGGCACCTGGTGAATGCACTCCTCTGCACTGTAGCGTGCCTGGCCACAGCGCAGACGTGGCTCATCTTCCTGATACCAGCGCCTCTCGTCAAACTCGGGGAAGAAGAAGGCAATTTCCTTGCTGGCTGATGCTGCTGAGTCTGCAAGAGAAGAGGGGAGAAGGAGTGAGGTGCCACCATCGTGCCATGCCTTCACTGCATGCTGCATCCCACAGGGACGGGCAGAAGATGTGGCTGGGGGCCCGGGCCTGGGTGCCACCCACATGTCCCAAAGCCCCAGGACTTGAGCCAAGGTGGCTAGAGAGGCCTGTGGGACCAGGGAGGCATGAGCTCTGGGCATCACCAGACACCACCAACACATGCAGAGAGAAACCCTCTGCGCTCTCCACCCGGCCGGGTCGTCCAGGAGGGGTGCGCTCACCTGAGCCGTGCGTGGTGTTCCGCGTGTCCGTGAGGCCGTAGGCTCCCCGGATGGAGTCCGGAGCTGTGTTGCGGGCTCGGTACACTCTGGTGGGTCCCATCAGAGACCTCCAGAGCAGGATGGCGTCCTCATGGGCCAGGATATAGGCCCGCATGGGACCGCTGAGCACGTGGATAGAAAGAGACAAGGTTACTGCTGGACGGGGGCCTCAGGCTTCTTGCTCTCACAGGCCCGGCGCAGCTGGAGTGGCAGAGGGTCAAGGGTACCGTGCAGTTTACAGAGGGGTGCCAAGCTGGCCGGCAGAGGCGAGGCAGCCAGGCCTCTGGGGGTCCCCTACCCCTGCAGCCTGAACCCTCCCACGGGCCCAGCCCACTGGGGCAGCACGAGGGAGCCTGCAGCAGGCAGGGGATGGCAGGGCTAGCAGGAGGGGACAGCAGCAGGTGTGTGATGCCAGGGGACACAGCCCCTCGCTTCTGATACAGCCTGAGCAAGGGCCGCAAAGCCCAGCTGGGCCCCATGCTGAGCGGGGACGGGCGAAGGGGAAGGAGGTACCTGGCCATGAACTCCACCAGCCTCTGGTAGAAGAACTGCCCTGTAGAGAGAGACAGACAGCGGTTCACCCCATGGGATGGCGCGCCCAGAACGCAATCGAGCACCTCCCGCCCACCTTGGCAGTGCCCAGCAGTGGGGATGGGCTGCTCATGCCCTGCGCTGCCCGCAGGGAGCTGAGGCCGGACAGACCGCGCCTCACCCCGGCCTGCAGGAAGCCTGGGGCCGAGCGCCAGCCTGCGCCGTGCCCCTTCCTGGCTCCTGGCCCACGGCGCCCTGCGGCAAGGAGCTCCGTGCATCGCGGGCGTGCCGCATATCTGCGTCTCCGCGGCCAGCCTGGGCCGGGAGTAGGGCAGGCTGGCCGTCCCCGCCCTGCTGCCCACCCGGCCTTGGCTTCGAGCCGCCCAGCTGTTGAAAGCGGCCCAAAGGGGGTCGTCCCTTAAAGCGGGGGCTCGTGGTCCCCAGCCGCGGTGAGAGCCGGGAGCGGGCCCTGCACACGAACCGCCCCGCGCGAGAACCGCACCCGCGTGCTGCTGGTAGAAGCGCTGGCTGTCCGCGCGCCGCCACCGCAGCTCCTTGCTGCGCACGATGAGGAAGCGGTGCTGCAGGATCGTTTCGTGCACGGCCTGCGGGCAGACACACGCGCGAGCTGTTGCGGGTCGCTCCGCCGGGGACGGGCTGTCGGGGGGTGGGCCGTGGGGTCAGAGGTCAGGGGTCGGGCCGTGGGGCTGAGCTGTGGGCTGTCAGGGGTCGGAGGTCGGGCCGTGGCAGGGGCGGACACCGCCCTCCCGCCAGAGGGCGCTGTGGGGCGGGACGCTGCGGCGGGGGCGG